TTGGTGGTGCGTCGCCCAATCGCCCTAATGAAGAAACCGCCCCTGGTGTAACGATACCCTCATGTCACGATTCAATACATATCACGATACTGAACTCACAATACGATATTACTGCGATACTCCAAGACATATTATTAAAGGTTAACAAAACATTTAACTGTTTATTAAAATGCTTAATTTGATATTACATTGTGGGTGTAAATGAATAGGCTTGGACTTGCTGCTGAAACCCAATGCACAAGACAATAGTGAGACCAGAATCAGAATTATTTTAGATGAATATGCTTGCACTCTTTCATAGACTAGATATAAAATAATGTAGTTTTTACTGGTAACATAAGGCATTTGGCATTACCAGGACCCACAAATATTCCCCCATTGCATTATTATACATTATATTTAGTAGTTTAATGTAGACTAAAACTCTGAAAACTTGACATTTTTCTCACACAGTAATTTTTATTTTGGGTGAAATATACACAATACATTTTGTTGCATTTTTGTATTGCGATATATTGTGACACGATATATTGTTACACCCCTAAAAACTAATATCATTTTCATTTTAAAGCCGGTATATTGGAATAATATATATATTTTATATATATATTTTATACGTATATATACTTATATTTTACTTATATTTTATTGTAATAATATATATATTTTTTTTATATATATATATATTTTATACGTAAATATATGTATATTTTACAATTTTCCATGATGATTTAATGTAGCAGCACCATACAAGACTTCTTTGACGGATGAGCGGTGGTTCTTTTTTTTTTTTTTATCTTGAAAGCCGGTATATTGAAACATGGGAGCATTTACTGCACAGAATTTGCCGTTTCGTGTTCAGCTGTGATTTGTCTCCATTTGTCAGGTCAGCATGAGCCGGTTTAATAATGACTACTGGGGGTTTTGTGACCCATGCGGTCTGTCTTCATCTGTGACCTCCGTGGTCTTCCTCCAGCTGAGATTAAACCCTTTGTTGAGGCGAGGGAACAAATATCATGCTGGCGTCTGCAACTTTCTTATTTGTCGTTTCTTATTTCTTTTTCTTTGCCTTCCTACACTCACACTCACTTCTGTCATTCAGTGGGACACCTTTTGAGAATTGCCGTAGTAGGTAATGTAATGCTTACTTCGCTGTAGGTAGAGAGATCTATTGTAACATTGCATGTCATTCACTGCTGCAGTAAAAGCCCTGATGGCTAAGATGAGGTTTTTAAAGCTGGCTGTATCTAAAATCTGGAAAACATCGCCATATACAGACTGAGATAGGAAGGCAAAAATGCATGTCAGAATCCAAAGTTTAAATATGTTTAAATATGCCTTTGTCGCCAGTTTTTGAAGCTTAGTAGGTGCCTTCATGCAAACGCTGCCTATCAAGTCATTGACAGACTGGTCAGCAAGGCTGCAGGTTTCAGACACGGCCCAAATGAGTTTTAGTCCACGGTAATTCTGATTGGTCAATACAGTGTTCCTGTCATCCTAAAATACACATTATACTAACATATACATGCACTCTACTGCGGTCTTTAACTGTGACTCCTCACAATATTGCAAGACCTCTTGTACCTTATTTCTTAATTTATCAAACACGGTAAGAAATAAAGCACGCACAAATAAAAAGCATTCCGCCTTTGGGTTAGAGAGCAATTATGCATTTAACGCAGAACAATGTAGCCTGTAATATTAGAGTTAAAAAGTAATTAATTTCACTGAATTAATTAAAAATAATACAATTATTGGATGCCTGGGTAACTTGATTTGATTGAGCTAGCATGCCAATAAACACGTTAAATTAAATGAGTGCATTTCCATGGAAAAACGTCACCATGATCCGAGGCAATATTCCTGGGAAATCTGTCAGGGCTAGTATACAGGAGGATTTCTAAAGCATTACGAGCATGCTGTATATTTCAATATTTACATTTATGCATGTGTCAGACGCTTTTATCCTAGAGGAACATAAGCAATTTGTCACAGAGCCAGAAATATTTGTTGTATACAATGCCAGGTTTATTAGAAAGCTAGATTAGGAAACGACTCGAGCTACAGCAGAAATGCAGAGAAGAAAAATACATATTTTCACTTGCATTGGAAATTCATAAATCACATTTGAGTGACAAAAAGCAGTGTGCAGATGTGCAGTGCTTATAAGCAGTTATCTACAAGAGCGATGACTGTAACTTCTGCCACAGCTGATCCTGTAAATGCTCTGGGTCTGATGAGCATATACAGCTTTTTCAGTCAAGACCTGGTATATATGAGTGTTCACACTGGTCAGATCACTCAGACTGTAACACGGCACCATCTTAGACTCTGGATAATAACCTTTATACTAACCGGATAGAGACTGTGCATATTAATGACCAGAGAAACTGTCTTTCTCTCTCCAAACAAAGACAACAGATGGTCACACTCTACTTTCTCATTACAGAGAGAAAGAGCAGAAATCAGGGAGAAATTACAAAGTTGCAAAGGGAAAAGAGTCAAGTCAAGTCATCTTCATTTATATAGCGATTTTAACAATGGAGATTGTTTCAAAGCAGCTTTACAGAGATAAACATACAATTTACGGTAACAGAGATTGTTTTGGCTTTATAGCGATTTTTGAATAATGTTATTTCCAGCTAAAGTTGGTTTTGATTGATTCACTTCCAGCAAAATTATCATTTGTTATTACATTAGCGGCCACTAAGACGACGGCGTTCTCTCTAAACAGACTTTAAACGCGAACCTGTGACCGGATGGCGTTCACATGCGCATTAAAAATTGATTCTATAGTTATATTCGTTTGAATATATGTGCGCAGGTTTGTAATTTCCCAACAAACCATGCCCAAACAAACTACTTGTCTTGCCTATAAATGATACAGAATTTTATTTTATCACTTCGGTACGCGAACCGGATTTTCAACAACGCTTTATCTGTAGAGTGGGAAAGGGATCCTCCATAGGGAGAGGATAGTTGACACTTCAGCACTGCATTGTCATCGGGTCCAGGGGAATCTCCTTCGTCAGATCTGGATACGGCCTGGATCCGGCAGGCTGCGGGAAAACCTCGGGATAAACAAAGACACTAAAGTTAGCGTAGATGCCATTCTTCTTATGATGTAACGAGTACATCTGGATTTAAGGGAAGTGTTCCCAGTTCCGGCTGACCTAATCTATGCAGCCTAACATTGAATTATAGAAGTCTATAATGTATTATGTGTATGCTAGGTCAAAGAGATGTGTTTTTAGTCTAGCTTTGAACTGACAGAGTGTGTCTGCTTCCCGGACAATGGTAGGAAGACTGTTCCAAAGTTTTGGTGCTAAATAGGAAAAGGATCTACCGCCAGCAGTCGATTTTGATATTCTAGGTATTATCAACTGACCGGAATTTTGAGATCGCAATAGACGTGAAGGACTATAATGTTTTAAATGCTCACTCAGGTACTGCGGAGCTAAACCATGTAGTGCTTTGTAAGTAATCAACAATATTTTAAAATTTATACGATGTTTAATAGGGAGCCAATGCAGTGTTGACAGAACCGGGCTAATTTGGGTCATATTTCCTGGTTCTGGTAAGAACTCGAGCTGCTGCGTTTTGAACTAGCTGTAGTTTGTTTATTAAGCGTGCAGGGCAACCACCCAGTAGAGCATTACAATAATCTAGCCTTGAGGTCATGAACGCATGAACTAATTGTTCTGCATTTGTTATTGAGAGCATATGGCGTAATTTAGATATGTTTTTAAGATGGAAAAATGCGGTTTTACAGATACTAGACACGTGACTTTCAAATGAAAGATTGGAATCAAAGAGCACACCCAGGTTCCTAACCGACGACGAAAACTTAACAGAGCAGCCATCAAGTGTTAGACAGTATTCTAGGTTATTACGTGTGGAAGTTTTTTGTCCAATAATTAGAATCTCTGTTTTTTCAGAATTTAGTAGTAGGAAATTACTAGTCATCCAATTTTTTATATCGGCTATGCATTCCGTTAATTTTGTGAATTGGTAAGTTTCGTCGGGGCGTGAACAAATATACAGCTGAGTATCATCAGCATAACAGTGAAAACTAATTCCATGTTCCCTAATGATATCTCCTAATGGTAGCATGTACAGTGTGTGTGTGTGTGTGTGACTAATGTTGCACAGACTCAAAATGCTGGCATTTCCACATGTGGTATCTTGAGGTTTGTTGAGTGCAATAGTTTCCGATCGCTGCTAAATTACCAGGATATCAAAGATCTTCAAAGTTTTTTTTTTTATCCCAGGCAAATACAGTGAAGAACGTCCCCTAGCATTTCTAAGCAATTATGCCTAAACCTTGATGCGTGACAGTAGTTTTACACACAGATAATTAATATGGGAAAACATGTCTTGAAATAAATGCTGTGCACATCTTGGGGTTTGCATGAGGCTAATATTTAATAATATAATTGTCTGCGATCGTCATTCCTTACTTACTTATTTTATATTATTTATTTTTCGCATCTACGTACGTTTTTGCAAAATACCAAAAAACGTACCGATATATACAATTCACTGCAGTTTACAACTTTCATTGCCTTTTCAGACAAAGTATGATTATAGGGGAAGCTTATCGATTAATATTCACTTATTTGAAAGACTTGAACAATAGTCCAGTGAGAAATAAATGGCAGAATTGAATGAAGACATGGAGAACGGCAGAGTCATTATGAGTCCCAGTTTAGGCCATCACTGTGTGTGTGTGTGTGTGTGTGTGTGTGTGTTTTATGCTAATTAATTAATTAATTATATTGTTTGTTCTCAAATGTATCTGCTTAATTATCTCCAGTCCTGTTTGCAATTAGTTTTCTTGAGCGTTGGACTGTCAGACCTCTAGGCACACACACATGCACACTCACACACACTCACACACATGACTGAAAGTATCTGTGTGAAGAGATTCGCAGAACCAGTATGATTATATCTATAGAGAGCAGGATGAGTAATGATAGTTTGAATCTCTTTCTCTTCAGCTCTTTTCACTGAGGTTCCTCGTGACGTGGTGTCTCAGGCTGGGGATGATGTGGAGATGTCGTGCTCCTTCAGAGGATCTTCTTCATCATCCTCCTCATTGGAGATCCAGTGGTGGTACACCAGACACAGCAGAGACTGGGCGGAGCCACACGCGTCCACAACCAATCAGGAAAGCCCAAACTCACCTTTGATTTGTTCTAATGTTTTTACGTTGTTTTCATCTATTAAAGATGAATACTTATTCTTTCAAATAGATTTGGTAGACTATCAAGCAGTTTGTTTTAAAAAAAAACACGGTTTTGAATGCTTTGTAAACTCTACCCAACATTGGTATAAATATAACTATATATTTTTTATTTTACCAAGCAGCCAGTGTACCGTATTATGATTTTTGGACCATTGGTATTCCAAGATGGTGGAGAAATAATATTAATAAATATAATTAGAATTTATTCAATACCAGTTATAAAGTACAATATTTCTAAAAAGCATTGGACAGTTTTAACCAATATGTTGCTATGTTTAAAAAAAAAAAAATCATTTTAAATGCCAATTTTACAAACCATATGGCATGTCCTGAGACAGAGTTGGACACAATTTGTCCAGATAATTAGTCTTCGCTTTAGTTTTGATATGTTGATGTGTCTACAGGTGATTCCACAGGAAAACACATCAATGGGGGCGAATAAAATAAGTGTGAGTTTTGCATTTAGAAATTTCTCTTCATTTGACTTAATGTTCAGGTTTCCATATGCATTGTTTTCTAATTTATTACATGTTGCTTTATTCTGAAATTTTACGGTGCTATTTATAGGTTATGCTAATAAATTTTGCTTCTCTTGTTGAAATGCTGATAGTCACTCTTGCCTATTCTTTAAATATTTTTTTAGTAATTCTGCACAGTAATTTCTGCTATGTGGTGCTTTTGCATACCTGTATATTGATTTATGTTAATTAATTATACCTCTTGTGAGAAGGAATGTTTCTTCAATAGATATTAATCTGTGCTCATAAACATGATCATTGTATCGCATCTCTCTGCAATTCACGTTTTCTTAAAGGGGCTATATGTAAGAATTTTCATGTATTAATCACGTTTTTATTGCTAATGTGTGAACCGCTTGTAGCGACATTTTAAAAACGAGAGCTTCCCTGACTTAGTTTGTCGATGAAAGCCTGTAGACTGATTCTTATATGAAGGATTCGGGACGTTTTTCCCGGGAAAATCAAAAGCATGTGACGGTTACGCTCCCGAGAGTCTCTGTATCGCTAACACATGAAAATAATACTTACAATGTTCAGGATAATGCCGAAAGAGCCATTCTGTACTGTGATGTCAATTTGACAATATGTCATGCAAGGAAAAGGGATTAATTAAAACTATAGTCTCACATAGCCAGATATATAGTCTCAAATATACTTTAATCAAACTATCATAACAGTGTGATATTAATGAGCTCATCTGTCGTCAAATCTCAGATCTGCTGAAAACATCCACATCTCTATGATCAGATGATCAATGAACCGCTGTTTCTCACTGCTGGCATTTTTCTTGTTTATTTTGTTATTGAGAGGAAAGCATGAAGCACATATTAACAGATTCATCTAAACGCTGTTCGCAGCATGGATGAATAACTGTATATCACTTCAATACGCAAAGAATGAAAAATACCTTCGCCGTGAGTGTATTAAGGCCTTGAATCACGTTCAGTCTCTTGTGCGTCACGTGTGCACGAGCAGTGAGAGCTGCAGTTCACTATAACGGCCACCGGTGTCACTATAACACAGGTTTCTGAACTCTACATACAGCCCCTTTAATTCCCAAACTTAACTAGCTGAATGTGAATGTTCAATAACCATGTTTTATATTTGCTTTAAGGTGGTAAAAGTGGTTGGCAGCAACATCTCACATAAACTCCGTCTATCTAGCGTCAAACGATCCGACGAGGGGACGTACGAGTGTCGAGTCATTGACTTCAGTGAAAGCCAAACCCAGCGGCACAGAGTTCAGGCGTATCTGCAGGTACAACAGAAGATTCATATCAATGAGCAGAAAGAAGAAGAGAAGAAGACATCAGAGCCTGAAGACCATCAGATGATCCAGCATGAGGAAGAAGCGGCCCATCGGGTTCATCATCAACTCCACGAGAGGAACAAGACCAGAGCGGGGAACAAACACCCGTCAGAGACACAGTGACTGTCCTGTGGAAAACTGCACACTATAAAGAGGAGAGGAGATCAAACGAGGACAGTCCTGACTCTACAATCCACGTGTCCTGACCGAGTTTGTCCAGATAATTAGTCCTAGCTTTAGTTTGATTGTTGTAAACTTTTAAACTGGCGTTGTTGTGATTTGAGCTTTTTCTATTGTAAGGAAAGGCACCAGCAATTTAAAGCGATAGAACTATGTCATTTTCTCACCCTCATGTAATGTCAAACCTGTATGAGTTTCTGAGAAAGTGACTTAAACAATGTAATAGCTTAGGAATATACTCACTTGCTGAAATATGAAAAGCCTTTGCGGTCATCTTAAAAAAAGTCCTCGGCTCAGCAAAAACATTATTGTGTAGAATGTCAATATACTGTAAAATACAAAATGTCCCCACAAAGATGGCAATATCCGAAATCCTTTTCCTTGTGGGGACATTTTTGGTCCCCATGAGGAAAACAGCTTATAAATCATACTAAGTGATGTTTTTTTTGTTGAAAATGTCAAAATGCAGAAAGTGTGTGATGGGTAGGTTTAGGGGTCGGGTTAGTGTAAGGGGAGTTAATATACAGTTTGTACAGTATAAAAATCATTATGTCTAGGAGAGTCCCCATAAAACATAAACTCAACGTGTTTGTTTTATAATAGAGCTGTTTCTAAATGCGCTTTTACATTAATGTTCGACAGATGTAGCTGCTGTTTTCTAATGTCGAAGTGATTTTAATGATGCATCTTCTGTATATCTATAGTTCTGCTTTAATGGAATTAGATGTTTGAGTTGTGTAATTTTCTGGAATTTCTGAAAACATCAATTTAACCTAATAAAAGAAATTACGAAATGCTCAACTCTGATGGGTTATTTGTAATTGTATTTTATAATGTCTAAAAAGGCTCTGATGCATATGATGCATGTTTGTGTGTTATGCCTGTATAGTTGTATTGTGTGTTTGTCTAATATGAGTCTGTTCTCTGAATCCAGCAAGAAGCGACACTGACACCCTCAGGATAAACCTTGAATCTTCAGATGCATTTTCTCCTCGAGTGCAGAGGGTTTCAAACTTTCAAATGTCATTTAAATGAGACACAAATGTGACTCCTTTCAAGGGACATAATTACTTTAATATCAAAGCATTTTAAGGAAGGGTAGGTGATTTGCTCCAGGAATTTTTTTTTGTTATGCTGGTTGAACATCTCTTCACATATTGGTAGCAATCACTAAGTTAAAGGATTAGTTCACTTAAAAAAAAACTTTTGCTGATAATTTACTCACCCCCATGTCATCCAAGATGTCCATGTCTTTCTTTCTTCAGTCGAAAAGAAATTAAGGTTTTTGATGAAAACATTAGGATTTTTCTCCATATAATGCACTTTACTGGGCACCAAACGGTTCAAGGTCCAAATGACAATTTCAGTGCAGCTTCAAAGGGCTTTAAACGATACCAGACGATGAATAAGGGTCTTATCTAGCGAAACGATCGATCATTTCAAAAATAAATAAAAAAGTTTAAGTTTTACAAGTACAAATGCTCGCCTTGCTATGTTCTGTGATTCGCGTTCGTGACTCTCCTTTTCGAACTCGTTCATCAAAATGAACGAATCTTTTTTCGAGTCATTTCGCTCATTTAACCAACGAAATGAACGAAATGACTCGGAAAAAAAGATTCATTCATTTTGATGAACGAGTTCGAACAGGAGATTCACAAACGCGAATCACAGAACATAGCAAGGCGAGCATTTGTACTTATAAAAGTTAAACTTTTTTATTTATTTTTTAAATGATCGATCGTGTGAAAAGGATCGTGTGGCTACAATTGAAGTCCATTATATGGAGAAAAATCCTGGAATGTTTTCATCAAAAACCTTAATTTCTTTTCGACTGAAGAAAGAAAGACATGGACATCTTGGATGACATGGGGGTGAGTAAATTAGCAGCAAAAGTTTTTTTTTAAAGTGAACTAATCCTTTAAGTGGTCTTAATGTATTTATAAATATATCATCTGTATAAGGTGTAGGACCATACAAGGTTGGTCCAATCAATTTTTTAATAGCATTGCACCATTTGAACAGTATTTATCTATAATTGTTTTAATGCCAATCTGTGTGTGTTGTGGTAGGAATTAATTTGGTTGTGCCACGCATGTTATTTCACTGCTGGAGGTTTTTAAACGCATTACTAACATGCTCGTTTATATTGAATAGTAGCATAATATGTTTTGGAGGGAAAGGATAATGAAGGAAGAAACAAAATAGCTGAGCTGGTGTCTTTATTTCTAATTTTCGATTAATTTCTCCATTTGAGCAACAGAGGTCAGTATTCAATACTCGCATAATGACATTAACTCCATGCATTAACTTCATTCGAAGGATAGTTCACCACAAAATCAAAACCCTATCATTATTTACTCACCAATTCATGTCTTTTAAAACCCAGGGACACAAACTGTAATTTAAATCAATGAAAAACCTTCAATGTTTTTTGTCGGAAGTTTTCTTTTTGCACCTTCAGGTAGGCAGTAGGCTATCTAAGATAAATGTGACTCAATCGTCAGCTAGTATGAAATAAAATGACCACTTTTGAATGTTTATCCAATGAAAACCCGCATATATAATTACACAAAAAGAAATGCACTTTCTGTTATGATTTAGATACATGTCTTACATAGCGCCATCCTAAATACAAACACTTTGAAAATTGTAGTGCAAAATGGGAAACAAAAGATCAAACTTGATCTGTGCTTTAGACCTGAAAATTACATTTCAATTACATTACAATTAGATTTTAAATCTTGTATACTTTATGCTTAAAACGTGAATGGATAATAACTTCAGCGTAAATATAATATAGTACCATAAAATCCCATAAAAAATATTAAATAAAAAACATTATCAAACTAAAATATAGTAGCCTACATTCCTTTCATTGAATAACACAGAGAGGGTTAAGGAAATAAGGAATTGTTTGAATGGTGGTTAGAGACATTACAAGTCCAGTGAAATATGCCTAATACATTATGTGTAATGTGATATTGTGATATTGAGGAGAAGAGCTGCCAGTAGGAAAGTGTTAGGGTGTGTCACAGAGCAAATCTGTCATGAAAACACATCGCCTGAGGGCTGACTTTAACACAGGAATGCGTAAGATATACTTTATCATCCGTTTTCACCTTTTTAAATGTATATTTTCTGTGCAAATTCCACTTAAACATATGGGTCAATGATGAAGTTCATTAACTTTGATTTAATTAAGTTTTAAAAATAAATACAGTTCCCTCTCATCCATCTACTTCTGCTGTATGTACATTAGGAAAAACAAGGATTCATTGTAATGGTGAGTTGATTTATTTATTACCTGTTATGAAACAGTGAATGTGGTCAGAAAACAATGCCAAATATCAGATTAGTCTGTAATGCTGCATGTAAATGTTTATCTGCTCTATAGCAACAGTGTTAGGGAGACTCCCTCTTTTGGCACATGAATTGCTGTGTGCTGAGGTAATCTACTAGTGTTTATGTTGATGACATCCTTCTGGTCATTATCTGAAGTAGATCAAACAGGTGCAAGTCTGTACAGTGATTAAACTGAAGAAACCGTTTAATGGGGTCATTATTTTAGGAATAAAAACAATATGATTAAAATTAAGGACCATATTTCAGTCATATGTGGATGGACCCAGTTTCTGATCACTCAATAAGCTCATCATTCATTTTCACTTTTGAGAATAGATTTAGCTGCTTATAGTTTTAAGAATTGCATTTTTTTTATACTTAGAATTTTCCAAAATTATATTTAGATTCTTCTTCTGAGTCTTTTACATGATACAGACTAAAAACACTAATTTTCATTTTTAATGGAAAAGTAACAGCTGAATATAAAAATATATTTGAAGCAAAAACATAAAGATGCATGTAAAATGTTTCCTCTCGCACCTAAAAATCTCAATGCCACATTGCCATCTCTTCAATGCATCATTTTCATTCTTTTGTTTTATAAAGTATAATATGCAATGTGTCTCCAAACACACATCCAGGAATGTGCATGCTTCCGTGTCCTAAAAATGAAAAGATTGCATACTCTGTGCTGAAAAACATGCGGTGTGTGTAGAGTATGTGCTGCTAAGAAGCCAGAAACGTAGTGTGGCTTTTCACATTCTTAGAAAAATACAGGATATAAAAGATTATGTAATGCTCTCTGAATAACGATAAGTACATGGAAAATAGATGATTTCACATTCTGTTTTTCACCAGCGAAGACTCATTTTCCAATGATGACGTTCCTGTATCCTCTAACGTGGCCCAGCTTGTCACTGTCAAAATCCACCACGAGTTTGCGCAGGCCGGACTGAGTGGGGGTGAAGTAGATTTTAACTTTGGCCTCCTGCCCAGGTTCGATGGTGGACTCCAGCCTGAGACGACCAAATATTTACATGTTAGAAATCTCACAGATTCACCTCTTTTCATGTTTATTCAAATATAAACTATTAGACACTAGCAAAGTGCAGTGTGCGATGTTTCCTCGCTGTGTTTAAAGGTTCAGTCGGTTCTGAAAGTCTGAGACCACTTTGAAAATCTAGGATTTTGAGGAGTTGTGAAAAAAGTTCAACAGAACAGCTGAGATGCAATGTATGGAAGCTTGTTTCCGCCACTGAATAAAAAAATAAATACAAATAATTGCGACTTTTTATCTCACAATTGCGAGATATGAAGTCAGAATTGTGAGAAATAAAGTCGCAATTCTGAGAAATAAAGTCGCAATTGCGAGATATAAAGTCGCAATTATGAGAAAAAAGACAGAATTGCGACTTTTTATCTCACAATTCTGACTTTTTTTCTCACAATTGCGAGTTTACATCTCGCAATTCTGACTTTATAACACGCAATTGCGACTTTATATCAATCAATTCTGACTTTATATCTCGCAATTCTGACTTTATAACACGCTACTGCGATTTTATATCACGCAATTCTGACTTTATATCTCGCAATTCTGACTTTATATCTCGCAATTCTGACTTTATAACACGCTACTGCGATTTTATATCACGCAATTCTGACTTTATATCTCGCTATTCTGACTTTATATCTCGCAATTCTGACTTTATAACACGCTACTGCGATTTTATATC